CGGATAGGTAGTAATCCCCATCAGTTCTTTAAAGCCCTACAGTCACATACAAACATATGGTATACACATATGTAGTTTTTGTGTAGAGTATGGACTAATGATTACCGGATAGGTAGTAATCCCCAACAGTTCTTTAAAGCCCTACAGTCACATACAAACATATGGTATACACATATGTAGTTTTTGTGTTACTTGTTTTTCTCACTTACTGCTCACTTACCAAGATGTCATAGATATTTCTCCAGTACATTTTTTTTAGCTCCAGTTCTAAATATCATATCTATTTTATTTTTTTAACTGTTAAATAGTATTTTATGATATTTATGTACCATAGTTTTTGCTGCTAGCCAAAACTATGGTACATAAATATCATAAAATACTATTTAACAGTTGTCTAGTTCCCTAAGAGGGAATATTGAAATTTGTATTCCGGTATTTTTTGTTGTTGTAACTTTAAACATTATCTTAACAAAAATCAAGTATTTTGTACTTTTCTTTATATTTGGTCTGTTCCTTAATTATTCCTTTTTTCTTAAGCGCTTTACAGTTTTGGGGGTCACTGCTGTCAAATGTGTTATTTTTTCCATTTCTATCTCTAGCTGATTATCTACTCAGTATTTAGTCATCTTGCCAAAATATTGATTTTCATAATTTAAAGTAACTAGCATGCAGTCATTTGATGATAAAGGAATTTTGGTTTCTTCTGTTCTAAATTCCATGCTAAATATGGGTGTTTTTGAGTTCACTAGAACCTCTAAAATTTCTGTCTTGCTGCTGATTTTAGTGGAAACTGAGTTTTATTTCACCATTTTGCATTATGTTTGCCAATTTCTTTTTGGCAAGTAGTCTTTACTTATTTAAATGATTTCCTTCCTTACTTTAGGATGTTTATATAGGAGACACTGCTGAACTTATCAACTGTTTTTCTGGCATGTATTGATGTAATCATACCCCTCACCCCATAAATTCGTCCAAGTGGTGAATTGTATTGAGCACATATTGGTCGCTGCCTTGTTTGGTGCAGGCAGGCTTAGGTGTGAAAATGCCTTTGTAAATTGTACCTGATCGTAGCCTCCTTTGTCTTGTTTAATGTTTTAAACAGAAATTTCACTTTTTTGGTATTAATATCACCTCTCCTGTATTATTTTCCTTTACATTCCCCTACTACCTCTTTAGGATCCCTTTGTCTTCAAGTTTTCTTTTTCTTTATTTTTAAACATGGAGTTTTTGTTTTTGTTTTGTTTTGTTTTGTTTCTGGTCTAACAGATGGCTTTCTTTTTTTTTTTTTTTTTTTTGTCTTTTGTCTTTTTCCGTGTCCGGCAACGGATCGCAACCCTCAGTGTTGCCCCCATACCAGACCGGGGACCGGCAACAGGATCGCAACCCTCGGTGTTGCGCCCACATCTTGCTCAGCCAGTGAGCGGGAACCGGTCTGTATGTGGGATCCGAACGCTCAGGCAGGAGCGCCGCCACGCTTCCCAAGCGACGCACTTATCCAGTGCGCCACCGGGCCGGCCAAACAGATGGCTTTCATAGGTGGATTTTGCTTGTTTAAAACTAGCCGTCAGTAGATTTTGGTTGTGACTCTTCCAGTCTATTTTATGTTTGGCTTACTTTGCCATTTTCACTTTTCCTGATTCTTGCTGGTTTGTCAAGTTACTATTTATTTCCTTTTTTCCCCTTTGTTAATTAAAAAATGCCACTCTGCACTTCCCTTCCTCTAGAGGAGATTGTCCTCTTCTCAGTGCTCTTGCTAAAACAGTCCTGAACTTCAAAAATAAAGATAAAATCTTTATTCTATAAAGAAAGTCTGTAGAGAAACCATGACCTGGCATTAGACATGACTTTGGTCTAGAAAGAAAAAAGATAGTAGAGCAACACTGGGAGAAAAGGAAGAAACTCAGAAGTTCTGAGGTATCATTCCCCTGTCAGCGCGAGCGACTGTTTTTGTGGGTAGTAGTGATTCAGAAATGATAGCCACATATGTTGGGTCTGAGAAAAATAGCCCAACTGAAGATCGGTGAGGACGGAGACTTCAAGATGTCAAGGAGAAGAAAGCATAGGAGTGGGGGAGCTCAAAATATGTATGGGTGACTCAGAAAGCATTATGGCAAAGGGACATGGCTCTGACCCGTTGTTGAAGTGCTAAATAAGGGTTCCGGGAAGACAAAAGGCATTTGGGAAGGGAAAATCTAACATAAAGTCTGCAGCTAAAAATCCAAAACTCTCACTAGAAACTATTAGGAACTATTTTAACGGCCTCATTTTGGGTGGGGAAGTCCTTTCACTGGGGGGGGGGGGGGGGGGGGGGGGGGG